GCACGCATGCATGTATGTATGTATGTTCACGTCTGTATGTATGTTCATGTTTGTATGTATGTTCATGTATGTATGTATGTTCATGTATGTTCATGTATGTATGTATGTATGTATGTATGTATGTATGTATCTTTGTGTGTGTGTATGTACGTATGTATGTATGTATGTTTGTTTGTTTGTTTCTGTGCATAATGTATAAGTTTAAACAGAAATATATGTATGTATGTATGTACATATATATATATATATATGTATATATATATACATAATATTATAGTATAAAACAACAGATCAAATAGAACAAACCATACTAGCTACTAGGTTACTAGACGAGAATAGAAACATGATATAAGATAATCTCAGTTATCTTATGAGATGTTATCCAGTCTTATATACGCCGTCCCCTGTCGTGTCGGCAGTGTTTGCAAGCAAAGGGGAACAAACGATACACTGCTTCAGTGCAGGGCGTGGGCTTGGGTTGGGGCCTTTGGGGCCTTTTGAGGTCCTTGGACCTTTTGGCTTTTGAGCTTTTTCTGCTTTGCATTTCGAAAGGGCACGTGGCCTCGTGCAGTCATCAAGAACTAGTTTCGGAGAGCATGCGAGGCCGTTTGCGATGCGGAGGGTCGGTTTGGATCTGAGGTTGATTCTTCTATGGATTGGAGAGTTCAGAGATGCTTGGAGCCCTCAGTTTTGGGGCTTTCGGGCTTCGGGTCCGAGCAATAGTACTGAGACAGTACGCGGACGGCCACGGGCCCATCTTAGGCCACTGGAGGCTACATTTTGGTTATCGTTCTGTCCAATTTGAGGTCGTCTAATTTCCAAGTTCTTCCATCCCGAAAAACCTCGACACCCTTACTAAACCCTAAACTCCCCAAAACCTCTCTTGAACGCAACAAGAAGCTAAGGTTCTGATGGTAACATTGCTGAATTGACGGCATGGTCTTCAGGGCGTCCCCTATCGTTTTACAGGTCGCCGAGTCTCACCCCTAGCATTTGCCATCTTCGACAACCGCCTGCTTTAAAAACCCCAATATACATAATACACAATTGAGCGCATGCTTTTCCTTGCTGTGCCTCGGTCGGCGGCTTTTTGGACGCTATCCTCGCCAAAGAAGGCCTCTTTGGAGAGTGTGCGAACCTCCTGCAACATGGCCGTGACCTCTTCGTCAGCATCTTCTGGCCTCGCCATGCCATGCTATGCCCGGACGGCGCACAAGAAACACTCACAGAGGCTTCCGGCGAGCCGCTTGACATCGTCCAAGACAGTCAGATCTTGCTTCAGCGGCTCCTACAAGCAAGCTAGGACAGCGCGTGCAAAGCCAACATTTCCATGGCGCTGACGAAATTGGACTGTTGGGAGGCGGAGTCTCTCGCTAATGGGGGAGCGCATCCCCCAAGACCCAGCAGCAGCAAGCAAATGCGCAAGCAGCTTGACATTAATTGTTCTCCTTCGCCCCTGATCTAGTTTCTGCTTTGTCTAGGCGAGTGGGCACTTTTTTCGTTTCCGGGAGCCGCGAGCATGGATATTTTGCGATGAGCTTGCACTGCAGAGTTTCATCGCCTCAGCCCTCGGGCACTCATTGTGCGGACCCCTGTGAGAAACTACATAACCGACCAACCTAAGCAAGATTTGCAGCACTCCTGTCCGATTTCTGAACCCCCAAACGCCTGCCAAAGCCAGCCCGCTGAATCGCGCCAGCAGATAGGACATATCGACTTCACCAAGTCCGTCTCCTGCAAACACCAGAATGACATGCTTCGAGACGCTCAGCAAGACTGTGGCTTGGGGTGGGCCTCTTCTGTCGCAATGACCACAGCACCATGGAATCCACGCAAAGCCTTCAGCCACTACGAAGGTCCCGGAACTTCCCACAGCTGAGAGCTTGGAGGCCTCGAGGAGCTGTGTGGAAGCCTTCTCCCACGAGGGGCAACCACCGAGTTCCAGCACCACCACCTGAGGCCTCAGCCACCACAAAAACATCTCCATCAAGGAGAATGAGCTGCAGCATTCCATATTAAGAAATACATACTGCATGTTCTCATATGAATATGTATATATATATATATATACACTTATATATTTGCATGTATGTATCTGTATATATATATATATATACAGAGCGAGATAGAGAGAGAGAGAGAGGGTTCGAGAGAAGGAAGATGGAGAAAGCGAGTCATGCTCTGAAAGCTGAGCTCGTCTGGCCTTCGCTCGTTCAGCTCCTTGGCAGCTGCCAGGAAGAACTCCGATGGCTCCTTCGAAGCCTCTTCAGCCAAGAGGTCTTCGCCGAGGCGGCAAACGTCCAGGGCTTCGTGCCGTTGAACCTGCATGAGCATCTTGGGCACATTGATACGACACTTCGTTACAAGTTCAAACGGCGATCGCGATCGCGACGACAACAAGAGGAGCGACGTTTGAGTGAGGAGCCTGCTGCCTTTTTGTCTCTGTCGTTACGCTCTGATCGAATTCAGGGCACCCTGGGACTGTAAGCTGTTAACCCCAAGCCGGAGGCAGAAGCTGTCAGAAATAAACCTGCTCCCCTGTAAATCGCCCTGCAAATCACCTCAGAAAATGAGATGTGAAACCTTGCCTTATACTATGGATCTCGCTTCCAGTCCGCCCCGACCCTCGGCAACATGGGTGTGCCTTGCCACTCTTCAGAGCCAGCTGGCCAAGCAGCAGCTGCAAGGCGATCTGCCCGCCTGGCCCCAAGGTGGCCACGCGGCTCTCGAGCGTCAGCTTCAGACCTCGGCAACGCAAAAAGGCTCGAAACAGAAGGCGGGTCTGAATCACTCGACTCTAAGAAGCAGCTCGTGGGCAAGTCTCGAAGGGTACAGACCTCGACTGGGAGCCGGGCCTGAGACGCGATGAACGCCACCGGCACCAGCGTCAGCCAAAGAGCCGAAGGAAATCTCAAAAATCGAGCGCTTCCGCGATTTGACGCCAGGAAGCTCGCGGGGCTTCTGCCACATCTCCGTGGTGACTGTCATGCCCGAGCGAGGACTACAGCACCGCAGCAGGCAGGCTTTAAAGTGAAGGAGCAAAACCAAGCCTGCCTGCGGATGTTGTCTCTACCAGCACCAACAACAGCAACTTCGATGTGTTCAGCAATTATAAATACCAGAACCAGTGGTCGAGACAAGGAAGTTGAGCCGGCGGAAGTGGAAAACGACGCTCCCTGCTTCGATCGCTGGGAAGACGAGACCTCCACCCGCTCTCTACACAGGTCTCTAGAGCCAGTTGGTTCAAACCCAAGCAGGGCTTGAGCCAAGAAGATCAAGGCACCGACTGTGACTCCAGCTCTTCTTGCAGATTCCAAACACCTACTGTATGCGGACACCTGCGAATCATCACTGTGCACTATCCACAGGCTGGATGCATGTAGGTGCTTGCTGCCAACCTCCTGTGCAGATGCGTCGAGCTTGCAGTGCGCATAGAACCCTCGGCCTGCGAACACAAAAAGGTCCGCCATTGATGTTAGATGGGCTTTCTCCCTGCTGAAACCGCTCTGGGTTTCCTGCCCAAATGGACACACGCTTTCCGGCCGTTCGGAGGGAGCTGTGGATGCGAACCTGTCAGTGGGTCCGAGCACGTGCAAGGGATAGGACTGTGCCAGAGACTCTTAGATGATCTTGGATCTCAGCTGCTCAGATCGCGGCTTTCACCGGCAGCATCTCTTGGATTGTCCTGGCGAGAACCCGATCTGTAGCGACTTATGCCGAGGGAGCATCTCACGGTCTGTCGCGGCCTCATTGAAGGCTCGCCTTGCAAACCGGAGCTTGCGCGCGCGTCCTTCGACAGTGCGGCATCGCACAAAGCCGGCGAGCTTTGTGGCACAGAAGCGGGTCATAAAGCAAGCACGCACAACTTAGCGTCCCCGATTGGACGCTTTGAGCACCTTCTTCCGAGCCTTAGCTTTCCACAGCTGTGCGTAAGCATGATCAGCACGCGTACGGCGTACTTACACTGTTTGCATCACCAGTCAACTCGCAAGTCAGGCTAGGTCCAGTGCATTGCAAGCCAGCCTGGTGGCCTGAGTCTCTCTCTGCGTCGAAATCCGTGGCGACCCTGTCTTGCCAAAGGCTGCAGCACGACATTTCTGCGCCGTCAGCATGTAGCGTTCCAACGCCAGACGCTGTGCCTGCTGGGAGTTGCTTTGACATGCAACGCCTGTAACCCAGTGAGAGGAAACTGCCTAGACCTTCAACCTGCGCCATCCTGCAAACACCAATGAACTCACTGGGCTCTCCGGACACTCATGCAGCTGCGTGCTGGCCACTTGGGGGCCATGTGCAGCATGAGCAGAGTAGGTCGCAGCGAGTCTCACACTTAGAGCTCATGCTTGAACTTACCAGCAAAACCCGCCCTGAAGCCCCGAGAATCGCCTGGGTGAGCCGCTCGGTGATGACCCGGCGCCGCGCTGATGGATCCAACTGCTTGAGCAGGGCCTGCAAGCAAACACGGTAGTTTTACAAAGCATCGAACATAAATCAATTTTTCGCGTGCGTTTTTGTTGCAAAATCTTCCCCTTTTCTGTGAAGGCATGACTGAGCTCAACCGTGTCGACCGTGCAAGATGCTGAGAGCTGTCGGCCTCTGGGCGTTCATGCGGTTTTTCCAATTGCAGAGTACTTGTTACTTGCTATGTGGCACTCCCGAGCAGTTTGGTGAGACTATCCACGACACAGGGAGCTGAGATTTGCCGATCGAGTCAAGGGCCTTGCTGCACGCTTTGAGGGGACGTGTTCTCGAGTTTGAATGATGCTTCTTCAGTCTTTTTCTTCATGTTCTTTTAAAAGACAGGCCTTGAGAAGTCTTACAACAGAGTGCTGAATTGCTTTGCATGACCCAATATCGGCGTGTGCAATGCCATTAACGAGCGTATCACCCTCGTTGGACTACTGACCATATCGCACGGTATGTCATGTTGCTTACATACTTACGTTGCTCATGTAAGTTCCAGAGACTAGTACTGATTGATTGAGCCCCCGTAGGTGCGAAAACCTTACCTTGCAGCAATGCCCGCTTCCCACCAAGACTATACACAGCAGGCTAGCAAAGCATCCGCAGAAACGCACCGAAAACTTTGCACGTGCGCAGCTGGAAAAGTCGAGCATGTCACAGCAGTACGCCGCGAGCAAGATGCGGCAGAATGTGTGTGCCTGTGTGTATATGTGTATCTACATACATATGCAATGATGAGTATGAACTGTTGTTGGTGATGACGATGATCTAGGCCGGCAGCAGCCCCAGACCTGCATCAAGCTCCGAATATGCTCAGCAAGACCCCTGCACCTCTAACGCTAGAATCTCAGCTTGTATGCACATCCATGAGCAAGCTTCTCCAAGTGGCTCTGCCACTTTTTGTTGCATGCATCGACAAGCGGCGATCGGGGGCCTGTAGCTGCAGTAGAAACTGCCGCTCCTCGCTGCCGCGGCCAGTGTGGGCTTAAGGCGCTACCGCTACGGTACCGCAAGCTCACTGTTCATTGCCGTATGTGTCTACATGTGCTGCTAGTCATAAGAACAAGAGACTGTTCAGGAATGCCCTTCTACAGAAGACACGAAAGCTGCTGAGACCCTTGCAGACTAAGGATCCGTCAAAGGAGTCGCACTATGTACATGAAAGCTATGTTGGAATGACCCACACCTGATTGGACTTCCGGGGCTCTCTTGGGGGTCTAAACTGTGATGAGCATGCCCTTTCCAGCACAGCCACATATCATGCTAAGGCAGCACTATCCATTCATGTCTTATTGACGACTGGCCGTTTAAGTTGGCGTCCCCAAGCAGAGAAATAATCAAGCTAAACTGTTGAAACTTACCTTACCCTTGAATCTAGGTCAGCCGAAACTACCCAACCCCTTACAGAAATGCGTAGCAATGACTCGAAGCCAGAGCCGGTGTCAAGATGAAGCCCTTCCTTTATTTGAGTCATCGCCTGTGCCAGCCCCGAGCACGCTTCCTGTCTTGGGATCGATCTCATTTCAGACCACACCGTGCCGGGACACCTAACATGGAAACTTTTGGCCGTCGAACCACTCGTGGAGGGAAGTACACAGGCGGCTGCAAAGATGATATCGTACCAAGTGACATTACCGCCGCCGCCATTCGATCCGCTTCCGCCGGTTCCGCCGTTCCTTGACTTGAAAGTCTGCTCTCTTCGTGTGTGCGTGTGTATGTGGAACTCAACTGCTGTGCTGCAGGAGCCCGAGGGACTGGCCTGCTGAGTCCGCACGACCTGGCCCACGGCACTTCCGATCAATGAGAGTTCTTATTCTTAGAATCATTGTTATTATTCGTATATATTGCTATTATATATTAGTACAATTATTATGGTTACTACAGCGCAGTTCTTATTAGTATTAGACTTAGAGCTGCGGGACACGGGGCTTGCGTGCGCAGCGACCAGTAATTTGAAGCTTGCCGGGCTCGCTGGGGAGCGCGGCGAGAGTGAAGAGAGAGGGGCACTTAACGTCAACGCAAACATGGAGTCCATGATGACCTCAGATCTCCAATCGATTCCCCGTGCATGGCCACCACACGAAAAGCATCCTCGTCGATGCCAGCTGAACTCGGGCAGTGACGATGTCGAAGCCCAAACGAGGGCCGAAGGCAAGAAGGTCGCTGCTTGCTACGAGCCGATAGGAAAGGGGAGACACAGGCATGGATGCAGCAAGGCAACACAGCAGTATGCAAAGGAATAACATTATATCCAACAGCACACAAGCAATTTCTGGAACAACTGACCACCCACCCGCCACACACTCACACCCACACACACACACA